GGCAGGCCCCCCAGGACCCCCCTAGCTACGCCCATGTATGCATGGAGAGTAAAAATGGTAACTGTTTTTCTCGAAATCAACAAGCCTGTGTAGAATGATCCCTTCCCTTGCATAGCTTGATCCGAGAAACCAACCTGTACTCGTGTTTCTGTAAGACCGTATTGGGTAGCTAATCGCTCTCGTGTGTACACATCGGGATACTGAGAAAATTGGAAGGCCCTCTCCAGAGCCGCAAGTTGGTCTGCGCTGAAAGTTGTTCTGCCTCTTCGTTTCTTTCGTCGTAACACAAGACCCGGTTCACAATCAGGGTCGCCTCCTGAAACAGTCAAAATCATATTCTGTACACCCATGTAGATAAAATCCGCGAACAATTAACAGAACATTCATCAACAAAATTACATACAGAGGTGACGGTTGACCTGTAATTCGTGAGGACCAAATCTAAAAATTAGGGAGGAGTCAACGGACTAGTCGGCCATAATATCAGAGCGGCAACAGCAAATTTTGCATCATAAACTAAAGCCCACGTGAAAATGTCGGTACATTTTGATCAACTCGAAACGAGGATGACAAAGAGAGAACTGCCGTGCTAAGGAAGATCGCCATAGGTATAAGTCTCCAGGCGTTGCCAAATTTCCTTTGAGAAATTTTGAATCTCTCAGGAAAGTTTCAAATATTTTTCTTCCTTTATTTTAGACAAATTTGTTCGTAAAATAAATCTAGAGTGTCTGAAAATTTCAAGGAAAAACATGCAAAACTTCCCCCAAAAATACATTTTTTATCAGGGGAAATTTGGCAACTCTCGAATGTTCATACGGCGTTCTTCCTTAGCACGGTAGAAAAGCAAAATACCGCGGACGTCCACCACGCAGACAAAGCTATCCGAGTGATCAAGTTGACTGTCTCTATATAATGGAGAAAGGACTTTCGAAATCATTCAAGGCAAAAAGTCCCCAGGGTCCTTTTTCTAGCCAGGAAACACTTGCTAGGCCTCGCACATACCGGACCCTTGAAAGGACCCCGGACTTTTTGAGTGGGGGAGGAGATGCTCCTCAATTTTATCGAGAGAAGACCCCTGGCCGAGCTCGATTCATTGTCAAAAGTCGGGGATTAATCGTTCATCAATGCCCGATCAATCATAATCCGCTCTCCCAGTGACAGCTCTTCTGCTCAATGAGCTGGCGATTTTTTCGGATCGTCTCTTTTCATACTTTCACCCGTCGAGGATCCAAACCGCGAGGCGCTGCACAGGGGATATGCAAAAAGGTCATATCTACAATTTTTCCAGTTACGATATTTTCTCGGAAGAAAGCAACATTTACCATTCACTCGTCCAATGGAGAATTTGCAGGTGTCTGAAAATTGACGAATTCCGTGTTTGAATGGACGCTATCAAGTGAGCTGAACACGAAGATACCCTTATTGATTCGTAAATTGACAACTATTGGAGGAGATATGACAAAATGATCAAATCTGCTAAAGTACATTCGTTTAAATGGGAAAATGCCGCCAGATGACGTCTCTAGGCGGCGCATTTTCTCGATTTTAAATCTATTTATATGCTATTTCCCATAGCCGAAAAAAAATATAAAAAATACTGCAAAATTAGCTCTTCAGGCACTTAGATGAAGCAATAAAAAATGTGCGTGCAAATTCTCCATTATTTAATCCTAAATAAGCTTTTTTTTTATTTTCGGAGCATCCATGAATTACGTCACCAATTTTCCCTGACACTCTGACCTCTCCCTTCCCCTTCGATACCAACATGTGACTTACCTCCAGACCCCTCCCGCCTTAAAATTACATCATTTCAAGCGTACCCTCGTTAGATCTAGTTAGATCCGGGCACGAACCCAGGTGATAAGGGAAATAGTGCCAATCATCGTACCAAAAATAGAACAATGACTTAATTTTAAGGGCGAAAAAGAATAGGTAGGGTACATTCTTTTAAACAAGATTTTAAATGGCATTGCGCATTGTCATTAAAAAGCTTGAGCTTTGAATGCACAATGAAGGCTATTTCCATTTAAATCCTCCGTCACATTCTCACGGCGCAATGATACAACTATTTGAACTCTCCGGAATGCGTGAGGTATCACGCCGCACTTGAAGGCGTTTTCAAATTAGCTTAGTTCCGATACCCGGATTATCGTTTTGCATAGTTCATATTCTTTTGTTATATTCCGTACCACTCGTTCATTTTTAATCCTCGTAGAAAAACCACCCATTTGTAAATACAATTCTAGCTGGAGCGCACTTCAGCTATGCATTCACTTGCTTAAATTGATGGAAAAATTATTTATGGAAGCTTCAAAATGCGTCCGACTAGCCGTATAAATTCTAAAATTTCTCGGGGGATGCCCCTCGGACCCCCCCCCTCCGTGCTTGGGGCCCGGACCTTAAAACTGGTACCAGGGCCCGAGATGGGATGTGGCGAGCCTGTGCACAAGCGACGACTCTAGAAGAAACCTTCCCGGCCCCCAATTTTCCAAAAATCCACAGACCGAGCAGAAGCAAATACTTAAAGGCAAAGGATGTGCTTTTTTATCCCTCACTCGCGCCTACCCACTCTTCAAACGTTGCAATATCGATGGACAGAAAGCATAAACAAGGAAATTCTCAAGTTCCATTGTAGCCTCGTTAACATCATATATATATAAAAAAAAAAAAAAAACCTCGTGGCTTATAGTTTCTAACTACTGGAGAAATTCTACTTCAATAATATTGATGAAGTCATCTTCAAATAGTATATGATTCAAAGACAATGCTAAGGTATGAGGTCAGTACCCAATTTATGAATTTTTTATTTAGTGCGAGATAAAGCCGCGGCTTGCGATGGTATGTATGTCCCTCAAAAGCCGAAAAAGAGCCCAGGACAGGAATCATGAAAAATATTAAAAATTTAGTGTGCATCTCATATGTCAGTTTAAGTATATTTATTACTTCTCGTTCCCTGGTACACCAAAAATTGAAACAAATTCAAGACAAAATTTACAAGTTCAATCGTTGTCATCGATCAACAGTGATACGTTCTCACATTTTTAAGGGCCGCATTTGATCAACCTTAGAATAATTGGACAATTAGGAGCTACAATTTCTAGCTCGTCCGTAAAAACACACATGTGCATAGGGAAACTGATGGTGCATACTTTCTTTCCAAACTCAGCCAGAAATTGCAGCCAGGGGCGGACTGGAAGTCGAAAAGTTAGGAGGCGACCTAGATTTTGGGGGCCCCTCCTGTCGTTCGGGGGCCCCTCTAAGGAGATCCGGGGGCCCTCCCCCGGAAAATGTGGAAAATTACACACTTTTTAAACGCAATTTTATGCATTATTGGAGTCAAATTCTACAGTATTTGAACTTCAAAATAACCCATTCTCAGGATTCTTCGGGGGCCCCTTCATCACAAAAGCTTTAGACGACCTTTCATGTCACTTAGAGACAAATTTTCAAGGATTTTGGGACCTTTTAGTGACTGAATAGGATAAAAAAATTACAACATTACAGGGGTAAAACCATAACTCGAAAAAAATTCGCCGCGGGGGCCCCTTCGGGACCTCCGTGGCAAATTGTTAGGAGGCGATCGCCTCCCCGCCCCCATGGCCAGTCCGCCCCTGATTGCAGCTCTTAATTGCAAAATATAGTCCAATTATCTCTTCTGCGTTTATGATATAATATTCATTTCGCTTGTTGTCAACTTCTTCATTAGAATAAATCTATTCACAACAGAAAAAGAAAAAAAAAAAAAAAAAAAAAAAAAAAAAAAAAAAAAAAAAAAAAAAAAAAAAAAAAAAAAAAAAAAAAACAGAAGAAGCTGTCAAATTAACGTAATGGTTTCGTAATTAACGCAAGCAAATAATTGTGAGACGGGGATTCTGTATTTTGAGTGATCAAATTGATTAGCCATCAATTTGGGATAGAACTTGAAGAAAGACGCATTATCTTGAATAGGTGGTGGTAAGTTAGGCTTGATATCAAAGACGACATATACCCACGGGCCAGCAACATCATTGGTCGATTCACTCAAAACTTATGAAGCTACATAAATGCGAGTTTAGTATAACTATTCGCACTCTTAGGTATGTTTGTTGCCTATGCGGCGAAATTGAAGGCAAACTTCAGATGCACGATTCCTACCATTAGATTAACAACATTGTGTATCGGTTTAATTGAAACTCATGAAGCTATAAAAATGCTCATTTTGAAATAGATAATTATTCGCACTCTTAGGTATGTTAATTGCCTATACTGCAAACTTGAGGGCAAACTTCAAGCGCACAATTCCTACCATTAGATTAACAACATTTAATCGGTTGAATCGAAGTTTATGGCGCTGGTAGATCCTCCAGATTATGATCCTATCTTTATCAATCCCTCCACATTCCAGTTTGTCAACAGGTGCACATCAAAGTCTGGCTCAAGGGTTAGGTCAAGTTAGGTGTCTTTACGGGGCCCGACTTGTGGGTGGAAACGGCCCAATTTCAGATTACGCCCAGGCAATTTTGGGCCCGCACGGGGAGCCCGAAAAGCGGGCTAGCGGGGAAGGGGAGGTGCGGATTGGCGATGCTGACCTTTCGACACTCCCAGCTACTCGGCAAGGTCCGGGCCGGCACAGGCACAAAGCGCAACACGGATCTTTATTGAGTGTTTGCGGGGCCGCGTGAATGCGCATCAGTCGATCAAAATAGGTGCAATTGTGCAGAAAGGGCCGACACAGGATCGGTGAATGGTGTTTTGGTTGCCCAGCGGCTCTCAACACCGGTGGTCAACATTCATCATTATGCTCTCACACACTTCAACACTATTCTCCGCTCAACGGCAACAATACCGAGCATACTTTCGTAGCCGACTACGCAGGGTCGCGCCGCTTCTGTCGCCAGATTTTCATCCCAAGTACCTAACTCGCAGAGGATGAAAATGATAATCCCTACAGTTCGGCAGCGGGGTGTGGGCACATTCGGTGGCTTTGCCGCCCGCGATCCTCGTATTTATGACTTGAAGACGGGGAGGAAGAAGAGGAATACAATAAGCAGGCAATGCGGCAATGCAGGCGGCTTAAGCTTCGTATAATGAACAGTCGGGATAGGACACAAATTTGTTCTTTTTACGATCACTCCTGTGGTAATTTTGTCAATACAGTTTTTGTGCCGCTGAGGCTTAGCCTTTATTTTACAGTCTGTCGGAACAGCCTTGTGAGGAGCATTATTATATGAATAGGTTATTCTTAGCGCTAAGTTTTAAGTTTTAAGAAAGGTCGCGCGGCAAAATGAGTCGCTTTGATTAGTAAATGCACGGAGGCTTACAGTGGCGATTCCAGGA